ATTTTATTACAACATGCACAACATGCATTGCTAAATGAAGTATCAACTAGGAAAATAACATTTACGCAAGCAACAGATATTTATTCGTTAGGAATAATCATGACTGAAATATCAACTGGATCTAGAGCTTTTGACGGTTATGATTTTGAGGATCTTGCAACAAAAATTTGTATGGGATTGCGACCTGAGTTTGCCCCTGGAACTCCCGATTTCTATGTAGAATTAGCAAACCAATGCTTGGATCCCAATCCTCAAAAACGGCCTACTGCTGTAGATATAACAAGTAAACTTTATAAATGGAATAGAAGTATTGAAAATTCAAATGAAATAGATGAAATTAAAATGCAATTTCTAGAAGCTGATAAGGTCAGACCAAATCCCGGGATGAAAGTGCACCCGGATTACATGTACACCTCGAATTCTATCAGCACGCAAAAGATCACTGAAAATCTATTGAAATTAAATGGTAGTAATCCAATAAAAAGCATGGAGATTCCTAAATGATTTTGTTTAAATCAGAATGTCTCATTATATAAAAAAAGTCCTCAGATTTACCAAATGAAAATACACATGATTTTATATTATCAAATTTAAAAGCAATTATAATTTAGATTAGCTATGAACATGTGATTTTGCAGACCCTTAACGTAGACCTGAATCAGATACAGACAAAAATCTAAATGTTATTCTATCGATTCTTATAATTAAACTAGAGGGCTGGAACCTTATTTATTACACGTTTAAATAATTTTTAAGATATCATAATCAGATTAGAATAGGTGATCATTTGACTTTAAAATCTTGAAATGAAGGCACTCATGAATTCAGTGCCAGTTATTCCAATCATTATAACTAAAAAAAAAACCACCTTTAGTAATCTAATAAAAGGCTTACTTTGAGCGATTTTTTTATATAATTATCTAATAACTAGCTTTGTTTAAACGCTAACCCTAATTATAATGAGCTTTAAAAATTTTTGCTAACTGCAAAATCTGCGTCACAGTGATCGACAAAACTCGGCACAGAATTTAAGCGTGCTTAAATGTTAATATTGTATTTTAATTTATTCATCTCTGTTGATATATTTGATATTGTGTCATAAACTTGAGTATCTATATTTAAAAGAATTATATTATATTTGCGTTTATAATTATTATAATAGATCATTCTTACAACTTCCTAAATCAATATGTTAATAAATTTATTCAAGTTCTTCATGATTAATCTGTCCCACCGTAGGCGGAATTTTTTTTTTTTTTGCACCTAATCATAGTGATAAACTCATTAACAATTTGTACGTATTAACAAAAATAGAGAGATAAAAAATAGTGATTATCATGTAATTAATTAAATGTAATAAACATTTTTATCAATCAAAGTATTGTACTAATAAATTCGTTAGTATGAATCATATTATCTTCGCATATTATTAATGACCTCCATATTTTTATCAGATTTCGTCAGTATTGTTTTTTTTTTCATTTTACGTATAAAGTAGATCCATGAATTTCTATAACCGACGGTCGTTTCTTTTGACCTTTATTCTAAAGTTTCTTCAAAGGATTCACATAGCATGGTGGCGTTACTTATTAATAGTTGATTTACAGTAAATCTCCTCGAACTTTTATTGCTAATCTTAATTTATGCTTTATAGTTGAAAAATACAAAATTTCATTTCCTGAAGAATTCTCATATATAATCGTTCTCAAAAATAAATATCTGATACTTTGGTTAATTTTTTCCTTGTAATAGTTCCAGTTTTACATTCGTGCGCCTTTTTGGAATTGGACCCAAATTAAAAACCCTGATTTACTATTTGATTAATTCAAATTTTTATGCTGAATTATACGTCAACAAAATGACGCATATATTAAATTGCACCCCAAATCAATAAAATCAATATAATTTTTACGTCAAGCCCATCTTCCCACCTCAAAACCCATCTCTTTTTTTTCACCATTAAAAACCTATCCTCTTTTATTGTTATTAAATTTAGCTTTAAAATTAATCTTCGTATTTAAATAGTAATTATATTTATAGTCAAATAATTTGACTTGCATCAAATAGTCTATCACATACTACGTCATAAATTTAGGGTAGTGTAAAAGTCGCACTCATGATATATGATAAATCTCCATAAACTCCTTCCTGATTTTTTTCTAATATTTTATTAATTGATGTTGCAAACCCTAAATCGTCAATATAAGCATTATATAAATCGCTCTGAACTAAGTAAATTACAATAAATAATATTATTCAAATAAATTATTTGAAGATCGAATGCAAAATAAAAGCAATTTTAGTTTTTCCTCCCATTTCATAACTACATCTTTTGATATTTCATGGAACTGCAAAAAATGTAGGGTTTTTGAATTTAATACCTGGATATGCAATTAACTTTAGATAAAATTAAAAAAATTTTAAATGAAAAAATAAAAAAATATCTTATAGAATGTAATTGTCTGTAATTAATCATTCAAAATTTTTATTGACAATTATTTCAAATTTCTAAATATATTTAATCCTATATTTTGCTTGTAATACTTTTAAAGCTTTTTACTAATTTGGAAAACTTCATATTCTTCTACTGAAAAATATGAATCTCCGATAATATCATACATAGATGCATTTCTAATTCGTTTTTCATATGAATAATGATGATAACTTCGACCTGATTTATCTTGAACAAAATTATCCTCCAAACGTAAATCACACCAAGAACCAAAAGCTGGACCATATTTATCTCGACAATAAATTGCAGATTCTGTATTTTTTTATACGACTTTAAATAGAATTTTGAATAGTACCATTTTTCAATGAAAAAATAAAGCTAGCATTGCAACTCTTAAAATAATCATCAAAAGGTTTATCCCAACCGATAGGATTGTAACCACCAAGAATTTCATCAGTACCTTTAACTTTTATAACTACAACAAGATGTGTTTGTTTATTACATAAATTCCAAAATGAATCCTTGGTAAAACCATCTCTTGTTCCACGAAGAAGTAATTTAAACTCGTATGGATTATTTGTTGATGAATATGTATTATCTTTTTTATCAATCCATGAAGCAATTTCTGCTGCATGTTCTTCATTAATAACTGTTGAAAATGGTTCTACATTTCTAGTTAGTAATTTTTGTGTTAAAATTACACGAGGTGGAAGAATTTTTGAAGATATTGGTTGATTTGGAGTCATGAATTTTTCATTATATCATTCCAAAGTTTTTTTTCAAGGATTTGTTGATATGGCTGTACATTATTAAGAATATTATCACCCGACATCTGAAAATAACGGATATGTGGTGAAGCTGGCGAAAACGGCGAGTCTGTCGCTAAAGAGCCAGAAATCTCACGTTACGTCAAACTGAAGGCTTGAATAGAGGCGTGGCTACGATTTGGCGAGTATGTATTTTAGTTATGTTTAAAGTTTTTTTATTTATCGAGAGAATTTTATTAACACTTGATCTTTTGCTCCTACTATTATTTTTCAGACGCAAGGAAAAGATATGTACTTTATTAAATTTTCTTTTCTCTTTTATACATTTCGTTTTTCTATACTAATTTCATTCCTTCCCTTTTTCTTCTAAATCCCTTTTCCGCCATCTCCATTGACTCCACCATACTATTTGGCCGTTTCACTGGATTTGGGTAAATTACTTCTACGTTTTCTATTTTTAACTATTCTACTTTTATTAACCCGCCTCTTTTTTTCCTTTACCACAGACCTGCCCAGATCCGCCATCTTGAAACTTCATTGTCTTGGTACGCCCGTCTATGAATGTATGGTGCCCAAATATGTGGGGTTCACCCAATTTTGGGTCGATCATAAATGCCAAAACCCGGGGCACCATCATTGTATGCACGATCGTCGATCGTGCATCGATCCAGGTCCCGATCGACGTTTAGGTCACGTTTTTGGTGGTCACGATTTATTCTACCCGTGACAATATCTATCTATATTGTTGCATAATTAGTACGGCAAAAGGTATTGTAATAGTAATTCATTGCATAGCACAATTATTAATAGCAAAGATACTGGTTTATATACGTAGCAATTTTCAACAAGTCATGTTTTATTGGTCGAAAATAGTTCATGAACCATTAAAAATCTGGGTTACACAATAATTTTATCTATAATGGTCTTTAGGAAATTGACATGTAGAAGAATAGTGTCCGGTTCCATAACAATTGCCACAGTGACGAGTATCTGTTCTTTGTGTAGCATTTTCTCCACCCATTTTGTCTCAATTTATCTGATTTATCTTCCTGTGAACTTAAACCTCGCTTTGCATTCAAATTTTGTCTTTCATTTAAATTTTCTGCATCCAGATCTTGAACGCTTGGCGTATTTTGGAATCTTTGGACATCCTTTGTGCTTCAATTTTTTTGGATTTTTAATTCGAGTAACTTCAATCATCATCCGATTATTAACATCAACATCAGTATGATTTTCAATAAATTTCTCTATCAATCCTGCAAATTCATCAACTAAAAGCAAATTTTAGCCTACTTTTAACTACACCAAATTAGTGAAAGATTATCAAATCTAAATCTTAGTAAACCTGCTGGCATACACCAAAACCATATGCATATTCTTGTTTTCGTGTAATGCTAGTATGAATACTAGCTTGATATGCATCGGGGCCACGAATAGAAATCAACTGATTTATTTGTTCATTTGAATCGAGCTCTTCAACAGCCGTGCCTTCAATCATAAAATAGTCTGATGCTTGTATTGGATCGGTGTACCAATGTTTAGATATAAGTTTAACATCAAACTTCGCATTACAAGACATCTTAAAAACACTAAAGAAATGTCTGCAATAAAAACCATTAGAAATAATATATAGACAAGTACAAAGATGTGTATTGTCATTTAAAAGAATAACATAATGGGGATAGCCATGACTATGGTGATCAAATAAAAAAACTTTCCAAGTTTCAAGAATATTTTAACGGTTGACCATATTCACAAGATTTTCAAGCAAAGCTTGTAATGTGTCATATTCATTCTCAAGATATCCATCTATATATTCATGCGTAGCAGGAAGCTAAAAAAAAAAAATAGTTCAATTAAGAACACTCTTGCTAATAATAAATTTATAAGCCATACCAAAGTCAATTCAAATTAACATGTGTGATATAGGATAATTTGTGATATTTGGATACTTTGAACAGAGGCAGATCCCAATGTTAAATTTTTTTTTATTTAATTTTGAACTGGTTCAAAAAACACACTTTGAATGCTTGGAAGTCCTTGGGTTGGCAATGCATTTTTATACTCTGAAAGTTGTTAGTGTTGTGCTTCATGTTCAAGTTTTATTTGAATCACTTTGTCTAAATTAAGCAGTATTGTTTTTGCACCAACCTCAGTTTTAATAAGCCTATTTGTGCCTTCCACCTGTTGTGTGTTTTGCATTCCAGCACAAAAAGTTGTAAACACATAAATTTTGGCTCTAAATAACTTTTGCCCACAGGATACTGATTCAACAATTCTTCCCAAAGACACTCCAATTCTGCTTTGCTATGACTATTATAATATCAAAACCAACTTTGTAAAAAATCATTATATGAATTACCAAACTTTTGAGATAATTTTTTTGCAATATTTGTCTGGATATGGAATATATGAGTGATGAAAAAGGAAAACCTATAAATCATTATAATAATAAGTGAAATGATTTACAGGTTTTCTCTTTTTGTCACTTATATAATAATTATGTTTGGTAGTGGGAAAGACTTGGCTAACAGCAGAAATCATGGTGGGATCAGTATCAGTATAAATTACTTTTGGGGGAAATTATCAGTTGCTTTCAATATACAATCTAATATTCACTCATATAAATTAATTGTCTTATTCTGAACAAGTAATTGTGCTACAAGCCTTGATTGATAATGATTATCAACAATTACAAAAAAAATTAATAGCATATTATATACATTTGTTTTTGCATATTATCATTTACAACCATGTCATAGTATTGCTTTTATAATTCTATTTGTGTCAGTAATATTCCAAATTCAATGTAAATTGCCCATCCTGGCTCTTGCTCATATCTTTATAAGCTATTTAACTATATCTGATGCATTATTTTCATGTTGATTACCTATTTAATTTTTATATTAACATATCACATTGTATATATCACAATCATATAGTGGTTGATTAGAGAATTTTTTTAAAATATATCTATGTTGGGCTTTTGTTTCAAGCTTATATTCCTAAGTCAAAAATTTTATATCATCAAAAACTTCTTGTATAAATAAGTGTAGACTTGAAGCAAACTCTTTTTAATATAATGCAAAAGAATGATTATAATTTTTAACAAGTTTATCAATGACTATTTCACTAGAGATTCTATATTAAGCTACTACTAGTATCCAATTTTTTTTAATTTTCTTTTTCTGTGATCTGAATTAACAAATCTTTTTTTAAGTTAATACTTTTTAGAATTTTTACAAACGAAGTATTGGCAAATTATTGTCCTATTATTATTACATTTTAACTAAAATTTTATTGCTTTAAATCCAATCTTTAGCTCATATTTTTTCAATGAATTTTCAAAAAATTCCAATTCAAAAAAGTAGCACTAGCTTTAATTACAGGATTATCATTCTCATTTTCACAATCAGATTCTTTGTTACTTTAGTACTCATGCTATATAACTTCCTGGTTAATGCTATACTGTTCTTGTATTAATTGTGCTGACTCTTCAGTTATCTGACTATTGTTAAAAGAATTGCTAAGAGTTTTATTATAGAATCAAAATAATTGTTAATATTTAGATTCTTAATAAAAAAAAAGTTAGATGATATTACAAATATAGTTAATCTTTAGTATAACTAGGCAATATAGAATTATTATAAGATTATAATATAAATAAATAACTATTTAGCCTAATTTAAACAAATTTGGGAATAGTTAAAGTTAGGATAAGCTTATAGTTTATATTAAAGCTTGCTTAGAGTTAGAGTTAGAGTTTTTTTATATTATAATTTTATAATATTTTTATATTGCCCAGTTATACTAAAGAAGATCCCACAACACAGATCTTTTGTAGGGAATAAACTAGATTTCTCACTTTTTGGTAAAAATTCTCAAAAATTTTTAAAATGTAGCAGAAATAGTATAAAGAAGAGGGTGGAGACATGTATCTACAAAAATTCTAGAGAGTGTACAAAAAAAACTGATACTGTTTGTTGTTTCTCTATGTCTTTATTTAAGACTGTCTAACACATTTACATACAACTCTTTCCGCTAATCCTCTGTTTCAAATTTAAAATTAGGAAAAAACATAAAATTTTACAAAAACAAGTTAAAATCCTTCTAGGAAAAAAGAAACCTTTGTATAAAACAAAGAAACTCTCTTAGAAGAAAGCAGTATATTTTAATAATAAATTCTGTGACAAATAGGAACTTTACAAAATTTTTACAACTTTTGATACAAAAAGTGAGAATTTAGCAAACCCTGACAAACAGATTACTAATCATTACACCAAAACAACAAACAACAAACAGTAACACATATCTTTTTTAGTATAGACAAACAAACAAATCTGTAAGTAAACAAACGATTAGACAAACAACCAACACAAATTAGTCACGTAGTAGATTATAGAGACGTCAAGACAAAAATGACTAGAATAGCAGACTTAAAGAAATTTTTTAACAACTCAGAAAAACAAATAGAGAAAGTTTACAAAGAACAAAAATTATTAACTCTTAAGATAGATAGAGATATAGCAAGTTTTATGGGTGGAATATATCAGGGCGGCCCCCCAAAGTACTGGTCGATGATCGACATCGGGTCAATGATCAACGCTGGATCGATAATCGATATCAGATTGACGTCACTGCTGCAGCATATATTCCATTTCGTTATAAGCACGTAACTATCTAACTGTATCATTTTCTTAAAAGAAAAACTACTCATATATTATAGTATAAAGACCAATTTGACCAGTTTTTAGTTTCTGTGCTGTTACTTTTTTTTTCTTTATAGCAAAAAGAAAAAAAGAAATGCGAAGTAAAAGGAACGAGAAATTGCACCAATATACAAGTGAATCTTGATATAAAAAAGTTACTGGGTCAGTCAAAACCTTTTTTATATCAGATTTTCTTATATCAAGAGATTTTTATTATAGAATTTTTAATTGGGACTTGCAAAATCTCTTATATCAAGGGTTTCTTATATCAAAGATTTCTTATATCAAGAGTTACTTGTAATGATAATATTAAATTCCCATTACAGAGTTTAGGTTTAGTTAGCAAAATACAGCAATTCAAAAATTTTTAACTTAGAATTAAATATATAGTAATTATATTAAATATTCAATTGAAATTTGAAAGGAATTTTTGCAATCCGATCTTATAAGTTTTTAAGAAAACTTTAAGATAAAAAGGTCAGGTTTATATATCAATTTATTTATTTATTTATATATTAATGTAGAATTAAGTATTTCATTTTGATATTTTATTTTATTCATACATTGTAACAATATTGAACTTTATTAAATAATGTATTGTTTTTTGTTTTTTTTTATTATATGTATTGTATTGTTATTTCTTCGTTTTCATATTTACAATAAAACTACTTTTTCTATTTTTGTAATCATGTATCATGATCTCGCTTATATATCAATTAATGTCTTCTATTTTTAGCATTTAACACTGATAAATTGCTGAATAATACATTCTTCTTGATGATAAAATCAAACAATTTGCGGCATTGTATTTTAAATTTAAAAAAAGCATACCATTGTCTTTATTTTTATTTTTTTTACGAACCTGTTTTAATGCAATCACGAGCTATTTTTGATCAAATCTTTCCATGATCAGTTTTAATGCAATCGAAAATATCCAAATGATTTTAAATATTAGTTCTAATGATATCAGCAGTTTTAAAAATTAATAAAACCCATAATTAGTTAAAATAGTGAATAAAAAAAAAAAAAAAAAAGACAAAAGTGATAAGCCCTACTAGAGCGTCTAGATTTATGCGATTTAAGGGATTTTTCATTGTTAAAACAATGAAAAATCTTTAAAATCGTATGTCTAAACACATTCGTAATCCCATATTTTTTTTCTACTGCAGTGGCGTATCTATTTTCTTGCCCTACTGCATACAATTACCATTAGTTAGCTTCATACATCTGGCCATATTATATAAATATTGATGTTATTTACTATGAATGACGTGCCAAAGTGATAACTCTAGTTCAAGAATAAAATTAAACATACCAAAAATCACATAGTTTAAGGTTCAATTCTACAAAATGAGAAAATGCTCATACTCTGGCATTGTTCGTCCAGATGAAAAATTTGTTTGGAAGAGTTTGCATCACAAAACGTGTAGTATATACAAAAAGAATCGTGATAAAAAAAAAAAGCTTAACCAGGAAACAGATCAAGCGGATAATAATGAATATATCAAAATCAATTACCTCGAGGTGGGTGACTTCATTGCAAATGAAATCCAAGAGATAACAGAAAGTACAAGTGCTGACAGTGTAGCTGATACGGCCTACAAGACTGAATTTTTAGTAAAAATAAATTTAGACATACAAAATATGATGGCAAAGAAAATCGCTCATCTTATCATTATTGAAATTGAAGGTGGTGATGATTTTTCATGGGTGTAGGTTCAATTATTATCATTGTTTTTTTTTTTTTTTTATTTATTTTTTTAAATTTTTTTTTTTTTTTGTATCATAGTTATCAAGAAGCAAATTCGTCAAGAAAATTTGGTAGCACAATTGGCAGGTTTATATATCTATACTGCCAATCAAGAGAAGCCCAAAGTGAAGAACATAAAGATTCTAATCGTAAGCGGCATAAGCGTTACGATTATAAGGGCAAAATCTTTGTACGGATTGATACAGTTCTTGGTGTTGCAAAGGTGAATATTTGCCATGATTCTCTCCATCAACGCCCAGATTTTTGTGCTAAAATAACAGACGAACTACAGGAAGAAATTAGAAAGTTTGCTCATCTTACCACAGCTCAATTGACAAGCCATCTACGATGTCAAGAGGTCGATGTTTCAAAATATTTCTACAAGTGCATACATTATTGGAAGACAATGACAAATAAAAATTTATACCAATGCCATAATGACCAAGTGGAATCTACACGTAGGCTGCTCGATGAGCACAGAGATCAGAATTTCCACAAATGCCTGGACTTACAAGACTCAGAATTCATAGCAATTGCATTTATAAATCTGTTGCTAAAGGAAATAAATGATCTCAATATTAGTGTTACTGAGATTTACATTGATGCCACATATAAAACTACATGTGGCCGTTATGAACTTTATGGCATCGTCGCGGATGTTGATAGAGCTGGTTATCCAATCGCCTATCTTGTAATGGATACGACTAAAGCAAAAGATACAGACCCCAGTATAGGAAAACGTC